ATTTGTGTTTTTGGAGATTGCTTTTTAAGATTATTCTTAAACATTGGTTAGATTGGATAAAAGCTATGATCCTTTCCAGCTTCAAAGTTCTGTGGTTCAGTGATTTACAACCAGCTTCACTAAATGGTGGAAAGGAAGCATTTTCTAGGAAGCTACACTTTGGTTCTGGTCAGGGTCATTTAATATTTATAATTTAAATTCGACTCGCTACTGTGATATATTTGAAAATCAGCCTATGTTTCCAGCTTTACTGAGCTTGACTCTAGTCCCCTGTACTTTTCAACATTAAAAATATAATTATTCCTTAAATTCCTTGAGCATTCATCCTTTTAGAACCTTATACTTTTAATTTTTGAAGAGTTATACTTTACCTTTTCTATTCTTTGAGTCTTTCACTGAATATTTCTCTTCCTCCTCAGTAAACTGAGTGCTCTGTGTTAGTAGAGTTCCATCTCCCTCTTAGAAGCTGGAGAAGGCTTTGGGGGCTATTAAATGAGAGAATAGCCAGGCATCCAAGAATATCTGCATCCAGCCTGCCAGCCTCCCCTCCTCCCTGGGGGGATGTAGAGGGGTTGTGCACAAAGATCTGAAGCCACATAGGAAACAAAGTTCTGCTTTATCTTTAAGGCTGAGCTAGTACTTGCTAACCTGCTAACCAGAGCTCTAATATACCTCCTACCTCCCCTTAAATCTACATCTTGAGATTTTGCTCTCTTTCGGACCACAGGATCCAGGAGCTCTAGGCACATAGGCAGGAGTGCTAAGAAGGCCAGCAGGACTTGCCAGAGGCAGACCCCAAGTCACTTGGCCCAGCTGTTCACTCTGTAGAATAACGGAAGTGAAGAGGAAGTGTAGGAGGGTGGAGTGTCATTTGATACTTGGCTACTCCATCCACTAGTAAATGTGACCCAGGGAAAGCCCTGGCACTTAGACCAGTCAGATGAGTGACACTCCTCACTAGGTGAATGCTAGGATGGCCAGCCAGGAGCCTGGCCCAGGGAGAATGGGGCTCCTTATTTGAAAAACGAAGGGATTAGACCAGATGACCCTAAAGATCCTTTCTAGTTCCAGCATCTGTTATTCTGAACACATCCATCCTTTGTATTCCGTGTTTCCTTTTATTCCTCACTCTGCTACACAGAAGCTTGCACGCAGCACAACCTCTTCTGAAGCTTGGGGAGTCAGGAGTTACTTGCTTCCAAAAATAAATTGTGTGCCAATAAATCTTTGCATGAAAGCAGGGTACAGGCCAAAACAGCTGAATCAGATTTTTAAAAAAGAGATTGGAAGCCATTTGAAATTATTTTTCTTGGTGCTTTACATTTTTTGCTGCTTTATTTCTTTGTATACTTTTCGTATTTTCTATAATGACCATGTACTATTCGATCATTCAGGGGAAAAGTAAGTAAAGCAACTAATGGGAAAAAGTTCTCTTCTGAAGGTAGAAAGAGATATGTGTAGTTGAACAGCTACAGTGAAAGCACCTACAGTTGAGCACTAGATTTAGTACTGAGCTTCCTGGAAACCAGGGCTCAAAAGGAAACTGGGTGGGGCATGAGATTGTTGTCAGATAGGGTAAGCATACACAATTTCATCCATAGGCTTAAGTGTTTTGGGGGCATAAATTCTAAGAGAAATACTTATATCAGGAATATTGAGAATCATAACAGAAAATGCCATCAATTGCAACTTCATGGAAATTGTGCTAATGTTCTTTAAAAAGTGATATTTTATATAGAGTCTCACTAGGAACTGAGGGTGTAATAATGGATCTCAACTCATGAAAGTATTTCTGTGGGTAGCTGAGCTAATGCAGCCCAGGTAAATTGCTTTGTGGTGATTTCACTTAGTAAAGGAAGAAAGCATAAATAACTCAGAAGATTGTAGATATAGCATATCTTTCTGAAATATCGGCTGCTTCAGCTAGATTTTTGGCAGGTTCTGGGTAGCAGTCAAGCCAAGGCTGAGCATTCTGATGCATGCCTGAGGCTCTGGTATTTGTGCTGTGATTGGAGGATGACCCATATACTTTTACCAGACGAGTAGCCATTCTTTCCATCTCCTATAATATAGGTTAGGGAACGTGGCTTGTTTCTGCTCCCAAATGGATGGTCTTCTCATTTTTGAATGGCTGCTTTAAGGGTAGAAGTGAGCAAGAAAGGGCAACAATTAATTATTAAACGATCAGTAGTGCTGGCTTGTTGATTGGAAACATAGTGAATTTCCCCTAGATGTAGTTAGCAGGCGCGCCTTTAGTGGTATAAATGGTGACTGTAGATTAGTTTGACCAAACATTTCCTCCTTTTATTAAAGAGGCACCAGCTCCACAGAAGTCTCCGTACTACTTCAGAGCTGTACTGTGAAGATGAAACGAGATTATGTATACAAAGTCCTTACTTAGCACAATGTACAAAGGTGTATATAAAGTACTGGCACGTCTTAATCGATCAGTAAATGGCAGCTTTTAATAACGACAATAATGAGATGAAGCAGTGTTCCACTGAGCCCTCAGGGTTGGGGCAGAAACACAGCCACTTTCCTTTTGTGACTGTCAGCATTTGTGACTTTTGTAATTATATTTCTGTGGCATTGATTTACTGCACAGGTATTCAGACTGAGTCCAGTACAACCCCCACTGCACATTGAATTGATGAAATAATATAGTTTACTAGGGATAAAAATGCTTTGGAAGAGCACCAAGCAATCCAATGAGGCTGTAATTTGGTGAATTTAGAAGACAACTATAATGAAGTTAGGCCTGAGAAGCTAAGTGGTTGAGTGGAGATTTGGGCCATATCTATATTATGCTTTCCTTTATTTTTTTCTTCATATGAATGCATTTTTGTTTTTAAGTGGGGGTGGTGTTAGATAAACTGGGACTCTATTTTTGTGTCCGGGTCTTTTTTTTTTTCCCCTTGTTTTAATTACTAGTCGCATGGATCGCCTGCACCTTTATTTTGTCTTTGTTAAGGTCCAGTGACCACAGCAGCAGACCGTGTTCTAGGTATAGCTGGTTCTATGGTTTGTATGATAGTGAGAGGAACCTCTGTGTTTTCTGTGCTCACTCGTGCTCTCTATATATTTATAAATAAATAAATTTAATATTTATTTGTGCTTTCGGTCACAACTGCATATAGGACTGGTTTTCAGGGAACCATTTATAATGACAACTTTCTTCTTCCCTTTTAGGATCATAATTAACAGCTCAAAGCCTTTCATTGTATAGGTATAGAGTCGTTTCTATTATTTTTGGCTTAAAAAGAAATACGTTTTTCTTGCCTTTGGATCTCGTCTACATGTTTCTTCCCATTCGCCAAGCTTTCCTGCAGTTCATTCCTGTTTGAAATGAGGACTTGAGTGTGCCCTCTGGAGCTCTGTTCGCAGGGTGTCCCTCGTAAAGTTCTTATGGAAGGGAGCCAGGAGCAAGCCACCTGTACTTCCGCGGAGCAGACTGTGCATTTTGACCAATGCTGTATGATTCAGTTCTTGGAGGTTCTTGACAATTAATCCAGTGCCTGACATCCATTTCATTAGAAAAAACTGTTCCCAGCCTGGAGTCCTTGATCTCTTAGGGCCCATTGGGGTGGTATGTAAAGCTTTAGAGCCAGTCTCCAAAGCCTGCAATAACGGAGCCTGTTTGTTTTTGTTTGGAAGTTAAATAAGTCACTGGGGTAACAATGATTCTCTCCTTCCGGCTAGAAGCTCTGTTGCTTAAAATAAATGTGTTTCAGTTCATAGTTTTTCAAAAAATGAGGTTATAGTGGCCATGAGGTGGGAAATAATAAAGAGCCCTCGATGGTGACAAGGCCAGGAATTACTGTGTTCTGGGACAGTGTTGTTCATAATGTAGTCTGCAGAGCCCAAGGTGTCCTCAGTGGAGCCCTGGGCACTCGGCACCCTGGAACAGATGTACTTTTTATTCATTTTTATGTATGAGTTTTAATCTATGATAGCATTTGAACAAAAAGGTTGCAACTGCTAAAATAAAACAAAAACATAACTATCACAATGGCCTGTCCTGTATAAGCTATAATGTGGAATTCAAGTAGAAGTTTTACCTTCCTCTCTAAAAACCAAGGCAAATGATGTCTAGAGTCTTTTCTATCTTCCTTTTAGCTCTAGCTGAAGCTTTTCCTCATGTTCGGTGAAGGACCTCACTGCTTCTCCACTTAGTTCTATGAGAATTAGAGCTAGGAAGAGAGAGTGGATGAGTGTGTCAAATGTGTTTAGCTATATTAGGTCCACATTATCTAGATTTATCTACCACAAGGTAGTAAACATTATTCATATCTAGATACATGCCTGATTTTCTTAACCCCTCGAGTCGTCTTGAAGCATATATTTTTTTTCCATTTTAGCTTCTAGAAGCATAGAGGAGCTAAACAACTCCACCGCTCTCCAAAGCCCCTCGATCAGAGAGACAAAGAGTGTGCATGTTGCTACCGTGTTCCCCAGTGGCGTTCCAAGGAGGATCCAGTCCTTATCTGTCAGTCTGGGACTGCTAAATGAGACAGAAAGTTTCCCTGAAGAGTCTGAAATTACCATGACTTCGGCACCAGTCCATTCGCCCTCTGAGGCAGAATTGAGAACAAACAGTGGCGTAATCAGGAATCCAGGGAATAGGAATTTCATGGAGCCATCCTCAAAAAACGGATTTGGTCTTACATCTTCCGAGACCTCAGTAAGATTTTGGCAAAATGATTCCCCAAGTAAGTGTTCAATTTTACTTGATCTAATACGGACATTTAAAAGTTGATGGATTTTCTTAAGGCATCACTTCAAGACCTTTGCAGTCTCTAAAAAAAAAGTGTTTCCTTAGATAACATCATTTCCTTTATCTAGTTTACCATATTACCACATTTTGATTTTCATCCTCATGAGAACATTGCGAAGTTTGTTGGACAGGCATCATTCCTCCTGCTTTTTTGTAGATGAGGAAACTAAGGCTCAGAGGCTTTAAGCAGAATTGAGACCTCAGCCTTGGAGCCCTGACTGTTGATTGCAGCTTGCCACTCTGTGGCATCATCTTCTTGCCTCTCTGTGGCATCATCTTCAAAGTGAGAGCTGGCCCGCTCTTTGAAACTAGCTTAAGTTATTTTATGTACAGATCATCTTTAGAAACAACATGTGCATATGTGTGTGTGTGTGTGTGTATTCCAAGATTCATGGTTTTAATGTACTCCCTATAGTTTATTTTTTATTTGTTATATTTCAAAATTAGAATTATCTTTATTAATAATAGAACATTTTAGAAAAATGCTTCTGACTAAGCACTGTACTTAGGCACATCACATTTGTTGAACACTCCCTTGACCACATTTGGGGAAGGAGAATAAAACACTCAAGCCTATCAGTTACTCTGCTGCTTTGCACAAGCTGTTTAAAAGTTCCCCTCTTCACCAATGTTTATTTTTAGTATTGATATCTTATTGACACTGAAGAGTTTTGAAATACTTACTTAGAATATGAAAATGCATGTCAGGTTACACATACAATAAATACTATACAAGGTCCTTGCAAGGCATCTTTCCCTCACGTCTCAGTGTGGAGGGGTCTTTCATATCTATGTAATGGTATTTTTTTCTCTGACATCTTACAGTCTCAGAAGGACCCCAGCTGGCCAGCAGCTCCGATGCAGAGAATGGACACCGCATGTCTCAGACTGGGACTATGTCTGGGTCAGTCCCGTCGGTCAGAGATGGAGCGAGCACTGCGCACTGGTTCTTGACCGATAGCAAGACATTCGCAGATGTGACAGGAACCGCCACTTCCTATCCTGAAGTTGTGAACTCTTCAGTTTTGACCCAGTTCTCAGCCTCTGCCCCACAGTCTAGAAGAAGTGACACCACACTGGGTGAAAGGAGTTACTCGGAGCCAGCCACCGAGTCTTTGTCCTCGTCTTCCTCAGAAAGCCTAGAGTCCTCAGCACCACTTGGCGAGCGCTCGAGTGAGTTGTTGCTTCACAAAACTGGACCACGTGGAGGGCACAGGGGCTTACTGGGCTATGATCTTCTGTAAGGCCATGTGTTAATGAAATAGCTCTGCAGTCCCCTCTAGTTTCATTATTACCAGGTCATTCTTCTAGCAAGTCAATACAGATGTACCTGTATGTCACCAAAGTTTTTCTAGTACCTCTCCAAAGAGCTGCTGTTGCCAGCTGCCCCTCCACACTCCCTATAGCTCACCCCACACCCCCATACCTACCTCAATCATATAGCTTCTGGGAGTTGAAAATATTACCTCCTGGGGAGTGGTTATTCATCCCAGGTCCAGGCATTCATCAAGAGAAACTCTCTTTTTTTAATTGCTTTATTGAGATATAATTCACATTCTATACAATTCTCCCATTTAAAATGTACAGTTCAGTGGTTTTCAGTATATTTACAAAGTTGTATAACCATCACTACTGTCTAATTTCAGGACGTTTTCATCACCTCAAAACAGAAACCCAGTGCTCATCAGGGGTCACTGTCCACGCTCTCTTCCTCCCAGCCTCTGGCAACCACTAATTTACTTTCTGTCTCTATGGATTTGCCTATTCTAGACATTTTATATAAATGAAATTTTACGATACATGCCTTTGGTGTTTTTCACTTGGCATAAAGTTTTCAAGGTTCATCCATGTTGTAGCCTATAATGATACTTCATTTATTTTATGACTGAATAATATTCCATTGTCTGGATACACTGCATTTTACCTATCTTTTTATCAATCAATAGATGTGTAGGTTCCTCCCCCCAACTCCCCCACCTTTTAGCTATTATGAATAATGCTGTTGTGAACATTCCAGTACAAATTTTTGTGTGGACATATGTTTTCAATTCTCTTGGATTGCTGGGTTAAATAGTAACTCTATTTTTAACCTTTTGAGGAACTGCTGAACATTTTCAAAAGTGGTGTATCATTTTGTCTTGTACAAAGGTTCCAGTTTCTCAACATCTTTACCAACGCTTTTTATTGTCCCTCTTTTTTGATTATAGCCATCCTAGTGAGTGTGAAGTGATATATCATTGTGGTTTTGATTTGCATTTCCCGGTTGAACATCTTTTTATGTGCTCATTGGCCATTTACATATCTTTTGGGAAATGTCCATTCAGATCTTTTGACAATTTTTAAATTGGGTTATTTATCGTTTTTAGTTGTAAGAGTTCTTTGTATATTTTGCATACTAGTTCCTTTTTAAGATATATGATTTATAGGCATTTACTCCCATTCTGTGGGTTGTCTTTTCACTTTCTTGATGGTATTATTTACAGCCCAAAAGTTTTTAACTTTGATGAAGTCTAATTTATCAATTTGAAAAAACTTCTTTTGGCGTTCTTTTTTAAATAACGTTTTCTGGGTAATTTTTAAAAAACATTCTCAGCAAACCTTATCCATGTAAAACATATACTGACTAAGGCAAAGATGCATTAACTTGTCAGTTAAACTTAATAGGTTTAAATTCTTACCTCTCCACCACTAATAATAGCAACTCCATTTTTCCCATATAAGCATCACAACTGATGAGGAAAATCAGCATTTATTACTACTGATGTGATGTGAAAAAACATGCTTTATCATGAAAGAATACCATATGTATGGGTGGAGGGTATTTATGCTCTTTTATGTGTGTGCATGGAAAACACATTATCTGTCTACTAAACAAAAGGAACCATTTTCCACCCTCAGTTGTGGGGCTCAGAATATTTACCTTTTCCAAAACCAGGAGCTTAGGTTCTGTAGCCTTTCCCTTCTCCGTCCTTTCAGAACCCTACGCTCTGAGGTTAATGCCAAGTTGGTTCATGTGGAAAATGTGATCTCATGTGAGTGGATCTTGGAGTTCAGTTATAAAGCACTAGATAAGGAAGAGCATCATTCCTGAAACCACCTTGCTGTGGTTAACGTAATGTTTTATCTCATTTCCCCTGAATTACCCAAAGCAGACTGGTTCTGCCATCCAGCCTTTCAGAGTTCTCGAGCTCTTCCTTTTTCTGGATTCAGATCCAGCCCCTCTTTTTCAGGTCATGACTCTCCACTGTGTTAAGTCTGTAAGCCTGATGGGGTTGTTTGCCTAGATTTAACGAGCCTTATACCACTTCTCAATTCCAGGCCTTGTCTTCTTTGCCCAGGGAGCTTGTGCTCAGTTGCATTCAGCTCTCAAGCCTCTCCTGGTGGACTTTCCATGGGTCTCTTAAGCTCTTCAGCCTGGGTCAAGTCACATCTCTCTCTGGCTTCTGGCTTTCTCAGTGCTGCTCAGGTCACTGTGCACCCCTGTCGCCACACTCATTTCTGTCTGTCAGTTAATACAAATCTGTCATGATGTGAACTCAGCATTACGTCTGTTTTCCATCAAGGTGTGTCCATGGGGTATCAAGAGCTAGTCTGATCTGGGAATGACATGAGAACCAGGAAAAGAGCCTATTTTCTTGTAGAGCCAGATTATGAAGTATTTAGGCCAAGAATTGGACCTCATTTTCATTCCCAAGAAAGGAAGAAAAAGATAGTTTTTCATGTGTCACTTGTCCCTCTTCCATCCCTACCAAGGAAATAAATACATTTAAAAATAAAACAGAACAAAAACCAAGCCCACTTTTAACCTCTGATCACAATGCCATTTTTCAGTGACATGTTAGGGCAAAGAATGAACACTCTGTAGAATGACAGGCCCTATGTAAGTTCATGTATCACTGGTTCTGCCAGGAGGTGAAAGCCTTCCCAGTAACGTGAGCCTTCCTCTTGGGCCTTATCAGAAAGTCTAAAGCCCCAATAGGGTTGTTAATCTTTTGGCCACCATTCATCTCCTCCGCATCCACCACCAGTTTCTCTGACATAAACCCTATTATGCATCACCTGGCAGAAATACAGTATTGATCCTGTTCACTGAAGTAATAAACCTTCCCATAAATCCAGGTCACCTGAATGAATATGCTGATTGGCACTGCCCCTTGAGTTTTCAGTCACTGATAGGCGTCTGTCTCCAAGAACACCACACATTTTGGGTTTCTGCATTGTCAGTTTCAGATAAGACCCTGAGAAAGAACAGGGAAGCATCTCTGGTAGGATAGTCCAGGAAGTGGGGCTTATTCAAATCCATTGCTCTCCCCTGCATTGACCAGCCATCCCCTTTTCAATCCTCTTGTAGCCACTGAAGATAGTCCTGAGCCGGGAGTCAGTGCTGACATGCAGGAGGGGTCCAAGGGGACATCCGGAGCCGGTGCTCACAGCCCGCACACTTCAGCTACATTCACCGGAAACGGAGAACGCACATTACGCTCCCTCACCAACCGGAGCTCGACTTCTGGGGATGTGAGGCACTCCGCCCCGGTGCCCAGGGAAACGGGGAGCGTCCCTCCGCATGGGACTGGTGACGCCCAGCTGGGTTCAAAGTCTCTGGCAGCCTCACCTGCTCTTGGAGGTGATGAGCAAATTCTCTTTCCACGTTCCTTCAGCTCATCTGTCAATGTGCTCACATCCCAGAATGATTAAGTTCTCTGTCCACCCAGGAAGTACCTTCCAAGCTCTTTATGAAGAGAACTTTCTGGATTCCCTCAACTCCCCTACCCCCATTTGCCACAGGCCTTTGCCACGTTGTCTGCCAGGATGCTTAAATAAAAGAGAACAGCCACTTTGTGGCTAAGGCCAATCTCCTGGGAAAGAACTATCTCATTATACAGAATGGAAAGTTGGGAGTGTTTTCCTTTTTCCATTTAGGCATAACAATTGTTCTATTTGGGGTCTTAAGAGCTTTTCAGATACCAATTTGCTTTTATCAAAAAAGGCATGTGGAAGGAATTTGGACCTGTTCCCTGTTCTGTACCTGGGCCTCACTTCTCTTTTATTGCCATTTCCATTACTGCCTCTGCACTCCTCACTGGAGGGTAAATCTGCTCAGCTGACTCTGACCCTTCCTGCCTTCCAAACTCTCGCTCCAGAATGCTCACCATTGAAAACCACCTCTCCAAAGGAAGTGTCTCAAGCCCTGGTGTGCATGGACAGGACACTGAAAGTCTGTTTTATGGTGCATGTTCAGGAGATGGCTTACTTGTTTAGTTGACCTAACTGTAATTTTCCCCTTTGCAGTCACTGGAACTAGCTACGATCAAGTGAGTGGCACAGATATTGAACAGAGGACTTCCAGCGACCACATGGACCACACCTACGTCTCATCTACCTTCACCAAGGGAGAACGAGCTTTACTGTCCATCACAGACAACAGTTCCTCCGCAGACATAAGGGAGAGTTCGACCTCTTCTGTTAAGATCTCAAACTCTTCGCAATCAGACCGTTCTTCCTCTTCTCAGGTTCAGACTGAAAGAAGTAACGTCTCATCCTATGGCAGGGAATACGCGCAGCCTTCCACCGAGTCACTGGGTCTGCGTACAGCAACTTCCGTTGGTGACTCATCTTCTTCTTCATCAGGGCCCCCTTTGCCCCTGCCCTCAGTGTCACAGTCCCACCAGTTGTTCTCCTCAACCTTACTATCAACCAGGGCCTCTGCTCATCCACTGCAGTCCACGCCTGATGTCCCCACACCTTTGTCTTCCTTGCCACCACCTTTGCCAGCATCCCTGACAGTCTCTACTCCTGCTTCACTGTCTGTGTCCCAGACAACCCTATCACCTTCACCTTCTACCCTGGTCCTGCCTAGGGCAAGGGACCCTCCTGTTATTGTAGCTCGGACGTCGACAGTGGCATCGTCTGTGACAATGCTCTCCAGTAGTCAAACAGCAGATCCTAAGAACCAGAGCAACCCACACCATGAGAAAATAGCTACAGAATCAAAGCCACCAAGCCTGGAGTCTCTGCCCACAGAGGCTATCGAAGCTGAACCAAGGAGTTCTATTTCGGGAACCCCTTTGTCCCCTGCTTTAACAGAGTTCTCCACTGAGCAAACCCTTCCAGCCACGAGCACCAGCTTAGCCCAAACGCCTCCAGCTTCAAGAGATACCACTCTCAAGACCTCTCACCCCCTGGTGCCCACTCTCAGCCCCCCGTCAAGTACTTCAGCTCCGATGACTGGCCCCACAACAGTGCAGACTATGGCTAGAAAACAGCTCTTGCCAACCAGTCCTAAAATTCTAGAGCCACAAGTCTCAACAGAAGGTGCTGTCACCACCAAAAGGAACCAAGTGCATATAGAGGATTCTACCCAGTTGATCCCCCTGACCACTGTACACACATCACCAAAAGTACTGACCACAGGGCTTGGCATTTCAGAAGAGTACAGCCCCGATTCACATTTCCTCAGAACATCTCCTTCTCCCCAAATCACAGATGTTTCTACGGCTGAAGTGTTGACTCCCAAACTTACCACCTTCCCTGCTCGGAGCAGCACGCAGTCACCAACGGCATTATCCTCTCCAGCCTCAGGTAGAAGGCAGTCACGCAAGCACGCTGAGCTCTCGGGCAGGGGCTTCATGTGAATGTGTGGCAATGGCTGGTTTTTGCAATAGTACAATGTTTGTTTTGTGCTCTCAAATGCTTCTTGTTGAAGCACTTAAAGCATAAAATAATGTCATGGTGGACCTGATTTTCTCACCCCTGAGTTACATAATTCTTCCTGAAGGAGATGATGCCCATGGCTGTGTGTGACATCAGTAGATAGAGCAATTGTAGCTTGTAATGCCCTGTAATTGCAAGAGCTTTTCAAGCACGCATTTATTTAACTCTTCCAGGGCTAGAGAGGACAGTGATCCAGGATTGGAGGGTAGAGAAACTGTAGTAAAGAAGCTTTAGGTGGCCTGAGACATGGAGTGGGTAGGTGCCTGCTCCCAGATCAGAGTCCCGAGCTTCTGAGTCAGTCAGGTGGTTCCACATTAGTTCCAGAGAGGCTTCTCTTGATCCAGGGGAAGCCCGGCCTCCTTTGTCTCCCTCAGATTGTGTTAGAACTCTTGCTGGTTGATAAATGCAGGTAGCGGGGCTTGTGCAATAAGATGAGGAACTAAGCTTTCTTCATAATGACGGTGCAACCAGGGCTCCTTTACATCGTGCTTGAGGTTTTCTTTATGTCCACGTTGAAATTCCTGGTACAAGGAATATAAAGCCATTCACCTGATCCTTTATCATGTAAGGAAAAGTAGAAGTAAGATGATCTATCTTTTGATGTCACGTTAAAAAATGTACATTTGACTTGTCCAGACCTAGGAAGAGAAAACTGCTGTTGGTGATGGGTGAAATGGAGACTAACATCTTAAGGAAAAAGAAAAGAAGAGAAACGCTTTGTAGTGACTGGATCAGGGAGCTAAATTAGTGGCAGAGTTCCACCTAGTCAGCCATCAGTGACCTGGGGCTAGAGGGTCATAAGCTCCCCGCCGCCCAGCCCAGCAATGCCACAATGCACCAGTGATCCCAGCACCTCTGGGAAATGAAAGGTAGATCCTTCTGGGAAGTTTGGGGTCACTGCTTCAGGGTTCACAGGGCTTCATTTGCAGCAGCCAAATACATTCCAATACAGTCTGGAACATAATTCACGATTTCCCCCTAAAGCTGATTATGGCCATTGCAACAGTAACTACAGGTTTGTATTAGGAACATCGTTACTGCTGTTAATGTATTTTCTGTGCCAGTATCCATGGGTACAGTTTTTGGATACATAGGTGCTGTGCTCAGGTGATTTCAGGTATATTCAAGTAGCAGTGGAATAGGAACACGATCCTTAGGCTTACCCTTTTGATTTCAGGGTTATTCTTTTGGAATTAGAACTCTTGACTTCTGCCTTCTTTTTCTCATCCTACCACCAATTTTCTCCTTGGAGATGATGCAGCTATTTTGTAGGTTTCGGTTTTTCTAAGTATGTGTCAGAAACCTTTATTAGGCAGTTGTTATGTAACTGGAGCGTGACAATTCTGGATGTGCAGATCGAAACAGAGTTGTTGTCACTGCCCTTGAGAACTGGGAGTCCAAGGTGCCATCGAAGCCTGTGCATCATTAGGGCCTAGATGAATCATATAGGGCTCATTGTTACCTCATGTAAAGAGAAGGCATTGTAGTGTCCAACTCCAGTCATTTTTATAAATGATTGCACAGTGTGTGGCAGTCCACACATTGTTCCACTTCTGAGATTTCAGATAAAGGGAAATCTTGCAATAAGAGAAGGGTTGATCGGGGTTCTTTCCTCCTTAACGTGTGTTGTATTTATTTATTTTTATTTATTTATTTTTCTGTAAAGGCAAGGAAGATTTTATTAACACTTTTTCCAGTATGAAAGCACTTAACATTTCTAGGCTGCAGATGTATTTCAGTATTCAATCTGGGCCGCCACAAAGACAGAAAGCACAGGGATTTTTTTCCTTTCTCATTCTAATACAATCCAAACGAACAATAGCAATTTGTTCAAGGTCTATCCGTGGATGATGTGGTCCCCCTTAACATGTGTTTTAAATGGGCTTCAATTCAAGTAGAATTTTCTATGTATCACAAAGGCAATATAATCATCCATCCTGAACGGAGTGACCTATGAGCAACATTTGAATTTGAACCAGTTCCGCGTTCAGGGATCCAATTGTCTGACGCTGCTGTTTGTACACAGGCGAGTGAGTGCTGGAATCCAGTCCCACCATGTCTCTGCTGCACCTCTTGGGAACCCATTCTATTTTAGTAGTGTGGCTTTCAGGACAAGTAAACAGAAATAAACAAGAATCAAATATTAGCCAGGAAAATTAAATATTTACCTAGAGCTGCCTTTACATTTCCTGTGTGATTAACTGCTTTATTCCTGAAATGTGTTTTCAGTGAACAGCTGTGCCACTAACCCCTGTCTTCATGATGGGAAATGCATTGAGGACCCCACAAGCCATGGGTATCGATGCATGTGCTCACCTTCCTGGCAAGGGGACGACTGCAGCGTGGGTAAGAGGAGAAGTCATCTCCGGTGGGCTACAATACAACAGTACATTGAGATAGGCCGTCAACTTTTTTTTTTTTTTGCCAAAATATAGGGGAGTAAGATTTTTTCATTAGTACCCTGCTTACTTGAGAGTTGACATGCTTATGTGTTGTCTGCAGACTGATGTCAGGCAGTAACATTGACAGGACTCCATGAGCTGATACCGTTCTGAAGCTGCCTGCACTCTCCCCGCACCCCAGGCCATCCACAGCTCCCCAGACTCCTGCGCTTTTCCGCTCCCGGCCTTCACAGTGCGGGGCCCTCACCCTCGGCCTAGGATCCCCACACCCATGTCTGCTTATTAACGTTTTTCTAGTCTTTGTCCAGATGTTATCTGAAACAGTCCTTAATTCTCCCTTCCATCAAAAACTGCTACTTTATCTGTGCTCCCAGATCCTGCCTTGTATTCATACTTAGTTGTGTACATGGCTGCCTCCACCCTTAGTAGACTGGTAGCTGCTTCAGAACAAGGATAATATTCTACTCATCTCCGGAGCCTCACCACAGCTAGCGCCATTTGGCCTTTAGTAAATGCCCACTGTACTGAGTTATGATTTTGCTGTTTGATACAGATTCAATATGTCCTTGTTTTCTGTCCTCTGCAGATGTGAATGAATGCCTCTCGAACCCCTGCCCACCCCTGGCCATGTGCAACAATACTCAGGGATCCTTTACCTGCAGATGCCCAGTTGGGTACCAGTTGGAAAAAGGAATATGCAATTTGGGTAAGAGATTTATCCTATCTTGGAATTTTTTTCTGCACCACAGTATATTTTGCAAAGTAACGTATATTGTTTTACTCTCTAATCAAAATCAATATTTGTCCAAAGTATAAATAAACTTAAGAAATATAGAAAGAAGTGGAAGATGCTGCCTATTACTCCACCTCTTGGAGTAATATATAGCACCTTATTTGAAACTTTTTTAGTGTCCATTATAGTTTTATATAGTTTAAATCATGTGGTGTTTGTACAAACTTTTCATCTTAACATTTTCCCATGTTATTAAAAGTATTATACAAACTTCTTAATGACTCATAAATAAGCTGTCATTTGTGCACATCACCATTTGCTTAACTATTCCACCCTGTAGTTAGGAAAAAAATATATATCAAAGGATATTCTAATCACTTAGTTTAAAAAAAAAACATTTTAGGGAGAGAAAAAAAGAATAAAGCCCTGATTATCCCACCAGATCACACATTCTTTTCATTTTTAAAAACAATCTTCATGTTCTTGTCCACAAGCAGATATATTTTTAAAAAGCTGTTGCCATAATTGTACTGTACAATTTGTCATTTTGTTCCCTAATTTGATAGATTTATAAAGCTGGTTGATTTTAGATATAATCACCATTTTACAGGTTGAGAAGCAAACAACCCACATGAAAACTAAGGCCCTGACAAGGTACTAAGTGGCCAAGCTTATACAACTGCTTGATGAGAGGCCAAGTTTCCAGCCCACAGTTCCTTCTATCACACAGTAATGTGTTCATTGTAAGAGCTCTCCTGCATACAGACAGGGCATGACCCTAAGTTAGAGTGCCTAGTTCAGTACAGAATTTGAAGAAATTAGAAGTGAAGAACATAGAGTTATTATCTAAGCTGGATAAAGAAACTGGCAGGTAAAATGAGTCATCTTTGAATCATCTTTTATTACCCAATGTAATACTTAACACTCAAAAAGTGCTCAGTAGATACTGTTTTGAGAGAACAAATGTCTTTGTCTTTTGAAAGCGTTATTTGCATGAACTCCTGTTGCCTATAGACTAAGGGGAATCATCAGACTTTTAGCACGTTGTGTCAAATGACCAAACTAAAATAATTAGTAAGGGTTTTGACATCCTTTATTCAAGTGAACGCAAATTCATGGAGTACAGGGCCTCGCAAGCAGTGGAGCACTTTTCCCGAGGGACTGTGGGCAAGAACAAATTTTATAGAAGGTTAGAAGAGGAATCATGAAAATAGGGTGTGATTGGCTGGGGTTGCTTGTTTAGAAAAATCTGACCTTATTTGGAAAAATCGAGGAACGAATAAGGAAATAAGTACAGAGCCCTAGAGTTGGCTTGGCCTTTGGGGGTTGGCTGATGGGGTGTATTGCATTTGGGGTAGAGCAGAGCATTTACAGGAACATGAAAGTTTGGTTTGATGACATGGCACCTTGGACAGGAGTAGCTCCATCTTGGGCCTAGAAATTTATTTTAGCAGTTGGTACCTTACTAAACTAATGGTAGAATTTTGAAAATTGTTTAAAATACAAGGATCAAGTCAAAGCACTATTTGAAGAAAGAAAAATCTAGGAGTATAGACATTAGTCAAAATTAAGAAGTCTTCTTATTGTAATAGTTTACTTGCTTTTGGGTAACCTATTCCTTTTAGCTACGTTCTGTAAGAAATAAGGCAGGAGTTTTCAGTCTAAAAAATGGATAAGATGGATGTGATTTTGTTTTGAAGGAGTGTGGGACATCTACTTGCCCAGGAATTCAAATGCCAGGCTTCTGGCTTCAGGGCCACCACCCAAAGCACATGGCTCCTGGGCCTCAACCTCCTCAACAATAAAATCAGATTACCACCTGCTCCGCTTCCCACTTAGGGTAATTGTGAAGATCAAGTAAAACAATGCATTTGAGGAAGCTTTGAAAATGGTAGCGTTCGGAGCATTTGAGATCTTGCTTTGCGGCATATGTTGTCAGTTTGGCTCAAACAAACTCTTATAAAAATTTAAAAAGAAGAAAATAGTAGAATTCTCCAGATGGGAAGTATCATTTAACATCAGTCTTTAATCTCTTGGACCACTTGGAACAGAATTGAAAGCAATGAAAACAATAAACTAATCTGAATATAAAGTAATAATTATGGATCTTTTAAAAATATCATTTCCTTAACCTATGTAAATCAACAGTTAAGTCTGAAGTAAAAAGTTCCCTTAAAGCCAGATGATGTAACTGCAGACATGAAGATGTATATGTGCCTGGGGAGAGTTCAGGGGCTGGGAGGACGCTGTGCGATGCCACCTTCATATTCACACTGAAAGCAGAGGCCACATTTACTGTCGCGATTCAGAAGAGATCTGTGTACTTAGCTTTTACAGTATGTATATTTCTATATATGGAGTCCGGGTATAAACCTGGACCTGTGAGTTGTGAAGATGGAGTGGGGTGACGGTTCTGGAAGCCTGTGGGTGGAGTGTCCCACAGGCACCCTTATCAGGAGGAGAGCTGGTCTATTGTGTTAAAAATCATCTTTCCCTTTTCAAGTCATTTAGCTTCATTGTTCATAAACATCAGAGGAACATGCAAATTAGAGCATGCTGAAATGCTTTCATTTGGCCAAGAATGTTTTCAAAGAGCTCCCTGCTGCTCAGAGAGAATCCTAAGCAGCTGGCTTCACTGAACTGTAGAACAAGCAAAAAGATGTTAAATAAGGATTAAGGGCTTTAGACAGTAAGTATAAGATGTTAAACGTTTTCCCTGGCTCATTTGTAGGCCTTTTTCTTAATTTGGCAAGCAAGCTTTCTGTGAAAGAGCAGCTTCAGGGGTTTTTGTGTTTGGGGTTATTTTTTTTTCCTGTCCAGAGGAAAAGATAAGAATTTAATATAAAGGAAGATAAGAGCCAGATATAAAGCAAGCTATACTAATTTTTGGTTGCCTTCCCATTTGTAAGTTCCATTTCCCTCAGGCCCAATCAGCACAAATTGATGTTAAGTAGAATTTTATTTTATGAGTGAAATGGGCCTTGAAAATGGGGCTGCTTTCTTTCATGTCTGAATCCAACATTATCTTGAATACGGGTCATTTCATCACATGGCTTATAATCATGGAGTCTGGCAAGACCCTGGAGTGGGGTCCCACTACAGATGTTTGGCACCTTTCTCCGTAGCCCCTTGGTTGTACTTAGAATATCAGATTCCTCAGGGGGCCAAAGATGTAGAAGGACTTGGAAGATGGGTGCACATAATGTTAAATGTTAATTTTGGCCTTTGGGAGCTGGGTGACCTTGGGAAGTTACTGACTTCTGGAAGCCTCTTTTATCAGTGATAAATAGGCATTTCCTCTGAATAAGCGGAATGGGGTTGGTGGGCATGAGTCTGGTGAGAATAGGAAACCAAAGCATGCCCTTGAAGCTGAGGACTTATCAACTTGGTTAAAGACCTAGAGAGACTAAGAGCTTTCTTCTCTCTAAAGCTTTCTAGGTCCTGATGGGCATATTTTGGGTCTAGCCCCACATTTTCCTCTTCTCCTCCTAGGATTATGTTATTTAGGCCAGCTCATCTTTCTTTTTCATCACAGCTTCATCGATCATCTATTATGTGGGAGGCCATTAAAGAGACGTCAAGAAAGCTTCTCTCAGCAGCCCTCATACATACACAAAAGGCCCCTTAGAGTCCTCATCCAAGGTTTACTTTGTCTGAGCCTTCATCTCAGCTCAGTAGATGCTCACTTTCTGAGAGAGGAGCCCAGAGAGGGAGAGGTGATCTCCACCCTCAAGGAGAAAGAACTGCACAGAGATGGTTCCTTGAGGTGCAGTAAAGCTGGATGCCCCGGAAATTTATAAACACAGAGCCTTTACTTACATAGGTCGGCCTGTTGGGTGTGGCTTACCAGGTTATGTTTTCATTTTCAGTTAGAACCTTCGTGACAGAGTTTAAATTAAAGAAAACATTTCTTAATACCACTATGGAAAAACATTCAGACCTACATGAAGTTGAAAATGAGATCACCAAAACAGTAAGTTTCTTAAAAGGCATATTCCTTCTTATTATCATGGAGTCTGGCAGCCCCCTGGAGTGGGGTCCCACTGCAGGTGGTTGGCACCTTTCTCTGGAGCCCCTTGATTGTCCTTAGAATGTCAGATTCCTCAGGGGGCCGAGGGTGTAGAACTTGGAAGGTGGGCACACATGACGTTAAATGTCCTTTGTTTTTCTCCTAGTCCTTTGTTTTCTAGAACAGATTTTATTCAGAATCAGGGACCTCCTGGGGATCAGCTGTATCTCCTAGGATGTTCATTTCTGTTATATTTGGAAGATAAACTTCACGATAAAATAAAAGGCCTCTCAGAAATAGAGGGGCGGTGTTGAGCACTGGTGGTGCCCAGAAGCATTTCTTTGAATGTGTGCTCATGTGCGGCCTTTGTCAGTGCCTTGGTGTTTCTTTTCCATGTGCAGACTTGTTATCACAATCATTCAGATGACATGTAGCAATGAGAGCTGTTGACGAAGAGGAAAAACCTAGAAAATCCAACTATCCCATCTGCTGTTGACATGCTGTGTGACTTTCTCCCTGTATTTCAGAGCATGGAGAGAATGATGCTCTTTTTCCTCAAGGGAAAAATGCCAAAGGCAGAACAGATAATCCTGATTATCCAGGGTTGAGAATTCATTGCATGGATTATCTAGGGGCCCTCGATTCTTCTTTCTCTCTTTACTTTTTGTCAGGAAAAAGAAAAAGAAATAAAAATGGAGAGGGAGGAACAAGAGATGAAAATGAAGCTCAGATAGTAAATTTTGCCTCTCAACTGCTACCTGAGTCTAAGATTTAGTGTTTAGAAAATTAAAGTTTGCCATTAAAATAAGTTTTAGAGATTAATTGATTTCTGATTTCAATTTTACTTGTTCTTTATCGGTAAGAGTTACTATATTAGCCAAAACCCATAGGATATTCTAAGACTGTGGATATTATTTGTGTAAAATTTAGATTCCAGTTTCTGTATTCACCGAGCATGTATTCTGTGAAAGCTACTTTGCCAGATACCTCACTCCTGTAACAGGTATTGCTAACACTTTTACAGATGAAAAACTGGGAGGCACTGGGAGTTAATGACATTGCCCGAGCTCACACAGAGCAGGTGCAAAGCTAGGGGATACCCTTACTTCTGACACCAGTTGCAAGTTTGAGGATCCCAAACAACACCACCTTCAGATTTGATAATTCACTAGGACTCACAGGTCTCGCCAAAAGCTGTTATCTCACGGTTATGGTTTAATACAGTGAAAAGATCCAGTTTACAATCAGCCAAGGGAAGAGATGCATGGGGCAGAGTCCAGGAGGGTTCCAGACTTGGTGCTTCCAGTTGTCCTGTCTCCATGAAGTCATGGACAGCAACGGTGTATGTATTATTCATGGAGTATTGCTGACCAGGGAAGCTCACCTGAGTCTTGGTGTCTAAGCTAATACATAAATATTAGCCCAACTGCCCATACGGCTGACCTCAGTCTCCAGCCCCTCTGGAGGTCTAGCGGATACCATGTAACTGAAAGCCCTCACCATAAATCATGTGGGAAGACTATGTGGCTCAGGCCTCCAGGTAAACAAAAGCAGGACATTCCAAAGGCTTAGAGATCACCTCCCAGGAGCAGACTTCTCTTTGGGCAAGGTTAAATTCTTTACTGTCCAGAGGGTTTTACATCTACTTTTACATCTACTAACCCTATACCCGGTATTCTTGTCACTCCACCACGGCTGCCTCTTGATTGTGTTGTAGGTTGGTATTTCCTTCTAAGATAACACTGGGGCTTAGAACCCCATGCAGAGGTGCACTACACAGTGCTCAGTGACTCATCTGACTTGTTCATGTTTACACAGTATCAATGTATAATTTATTAGTGACGTGACATCTTCACCCACCCACCCACCCCCGGAAATAATAAAGATTTAGGTAGTGACTGGAGAAAGCCTTTCCCAAAATCGTTCTGTTC